TTCCTGTGCAGGTGTGACGTGTCAGACTCACACCTGCAGTCGGGGGTTCGGGGTTAAAGTGAAGTTGGTCACATGACTGTCCTGTTTCAGGCTGCTGCTGCCTGCAGACTTCACCGTGTTCTCCTACAGTCCCAACGGATCCCTGGTCACATCCACGCCACCTGTCCAGGTAACGCCCCGCCTACCTGTCTGTCTGTTGTATATGAGCCTCACCGGTCCTGTCAGCCAGTCGCATCGCTCAGACTCACCTGCTTTACAAACGCCCCGCCCTTTTCCTTCCTTTATGGTCATTGCGGCGTCGATGCCACTGAGAACAAAGCGCACGCGCTCTGTTTCTCTGCAGACTTCATTAAAGCAAGGCTTTCCCAGAGAGAGGTGCATGCTGGGAGTTGAGCTTCCTGTCAGCTGACCCGGGTTGTCTGATGTTTGAATGATAAATGGACGGTGGCAGTCTTTGTTTGGAGATGGTTACCATGGCGAGGGTCAGGGTTCGATCCTGTGACTAGCTGTCACTTCCTGTCAGTGTACAGAAACACGCTGACTCCTGTTTCCTGTATTTAAACTTGAGTCAGCTTGTTCAGGCAGAGCGTGATAGGTGGGTGGAGCGCTCTCAGCTCGCTGCGCCCACAGAGGGGAGGAGACAGAGCGAGAGCAGCAGACCGCTGAGACACGAAACTAAGACGCCGCTGACTATCCGTGTCTAATCGTTCACTGCAGGGAACTTCACAAAGTGCATTCTGGGTAAAGTTTGAGCCTCGTGCCACAGGCGTCTTCGTTCAAGGATGGAGACCTATGTGTCATCAGGTCGATCAGATCAGGTGACGTGCTGATAGGTGGAGCCTGAGATCCCCGTCCGGTGAGTCAGTGCAGACAGGATGGGTTCAGACTCACGGGCCACGGCTTGACCACCGCTACTCCATGAGGACAAACAAGAGGAAGTGAGAAAATGATGAGCTGGTGTTCCTCAAAGTCTCTCTCGAGTAGAATGCAGATTTTGGTCCTCACAAAGATAGCTAGACAGGAACACAGACACATGCACACACAGACAGGAAGTGTGTGAGCTCCAGTGGAACTGATACAGCAAGAATCGCGGCAGTGATGTCACTGAAACTCCGTCTAGTTATGAACATGTGATTCAGTCACAGCAGTGTGTGTGGATAGGAGGCGTGGTGGCGCCCCCCACTGGTGTGTGTGGGTGCTGCAGTCAGCTGTCTGTGTTTCAGGACCACTGTCACTATCGCGGCTTCGTCCAGGGCGTGGAGGGCTCATCCGTCGCCATGAGCATCTGCAACGGCCTCAGGTAATACACACACGCACACACGGGTCCATCAAACATGGCGAGGATTAAGGCGAGTCTGAAACAGTCGCCGTGTTTGTTCAGTATCAGAAAGTACTTTTAGCGAGCGAGGTCGTTTGGGGGAATGTAGAGTGGAAGATTTAACGAACACGTCATTTACTGCAGGTCACAAGTCTGACACTCTGTGTGTGTGTGTGTGTGTGTGTGTGTGTGTGTGTGTGTGTCTGTGTCTGTGTGTGTGTGTGTGTGTCTGTGTGTGTCTGTGTGTGTGTGTGGTCTGTGTGTGTGTGTCTGTGTGTGTCGTGTTGTGTGTGTGTTGTGTGTGTGTGTGTGTGTGTGTGTGTGTGTGTGTGTGTGTCGTGTGTGTGTGTCTGTGTGTGTGTGTGTGTGTGTCTGTGTGTGTGTGTGTGTGTCTGTGTGTCTGTGTGTGTTTGTCTGTGTGTCTGTGTGTGTGTCTGTGTCTGTGTGTGTGTCTGTGTGTGTGTGTGTGTGTGTGTCTGTGTGTGTGTGTGTGTGTGTCTGTGTGTGTCTGTGTGTGTGTGTGTGTGTGTGTCGTGTGTGTGTGTGTGTTGTGTGTGTCTGTGTGTGTCTGTGTGTGTTGTGTGTGTGTGTGTGTGTGTGTTGTGTGTGTCTGTGTCGTGTGTGTGTGTGTCGTGTGTGTGTGTGTGCTGTGTGTGCTTGTGTGTGTGTGTGTTGCGTGATGTGCGTGTGCTGTGTGTGTCTGTGTCGTTGTGTGTCTGTGTGTGTCGTGTGTGTGTGTGTGTGTCTGTGTGTGTTGTGTGTGGTGTGTCTTGTCGTGTGTGTGTCTGTGTGTGTGTGTCTGTGTGTGGTCGTGTGTGTGTGTGTGTCTGTGTGTGTCTGTGTGTGTGTGTCGTGTTGTGTGTGTTGTGTGTGTGTGTTGTGTGTGTGTCTGTGTGTTGTGTGTGTTGTGTCTGTGGTGTGTGTGTGTCGTGCTGTGTGTCTGTGGCTGTGTGTGTTGTTTGTCTGTGTGTGTCTGTGTCTGTGTGTGTGTGTGTGTGCTGTGCTGTGTGTGTGTGTGTGTGTTGTGTGTGTGTGTGTGTGTGTGTCTGTGTGTGTGTGTGTGTGTGTGTGCTGTGTGTACTGTGTGTGTCGTGTCTGTGTGTCTGTGTGTGTGTGTGTGTGTGTGTGTGTGTGTGTCTGTGTGTGTGTGTGTGTCTGTGTGTGTCTGTGTCTGTGTGTGTCTGTGTGTGTGTGTGTGTCTGTGTC